GAATTTGCTTCCCCAAACAGTGCTGGGAACATAATCCTTCAAGAGAAGCAGCACCAACTTTCAACTTCTGTGAACTTTTATCCATTGATCCCCTGCTCTAGGTGTCGGGATTTTAGCTTTGTCTGTTGTATCAGCCGTGGCCGAAGTCAACTCTCCAGAAATTCAAGGGCCCTGTGATTCTCAAGGATATCCCGGACCTCCAGGGCCCCCCGGCCCCGTGGGGCCACCTGGCCCACGAGGTGAGAAAACATTTTTTTCCACATTGCATTGGTCATTTCTTTCTCTCTGATTGAAATATCCATAAACCCAGTGGAAATTACCCAGGTGTTTCCCACAGTAATGACTGAGACAACGATTTTCTGGAGGAAAATTACTGCAGACTTCCACTTCCAAGCACAGCTAAGCACCTAGGATCTTAAAACAGGAGATGAGGTTTTTACCCCAGAAAAACTTCAGGGATGAGTCCTGAAGACACCCCTTGTAAACCTAAATGATGGTTTAGATAGCATTTAGATTGGTGCACTCTTTAAAGTGGCAGTTACTCTATGCTAACCCATAATTAATACAGGTACTGGTGAGTTTCCTGCAAATTCAAGGGCCAAATGGTATTGGAGACAACCATTGAGAATCCGGTGTTAGGAGATTTCCCCTCAATTCTGAGCACTAGCTCTGCCATCTCAACCTTGCTGGAAACTATCCCAATTCGATCCTGCATCAGGAATTCCTAGCTTGATTGTGCATCACAATTATCTGTGGACGTTGTTTAATATGCAGGTTCCTGGATTCACCCCCCTGAAATTCTAATTCAGAAGGTCACTGCACTATTAGCCAAGGTACTGTATTATTCACAGTCTGCCCTGCAGACACTAGTGCACAGTCCAGCTCAGGAAACATCACTCTAACATCCCCTTTTATCTCTGGAATGATCCAATTCCTAGATTTCCCTGTGCCAGTGTTTCCCGAGAGTCATCCTTAATTGGTGTTTGTGATAACAAAAAACATATGATCTACCTATGAAATCAACAGGAAGGGCAATTCAAGTGACTATCCAATCACTGCTTCAAAGAATATTCTGACTCTACCAACTCTACACTGGACACTGTGATGGTGCGTTAGAAACAAAATTAAGCAGGTCATTGGCTCATAGTCTAATTAAGGAAGCAAAATAGGTACTTGATGGGGGAGATTACTATCCAGCGTGGCAAATGCTATGATCAAAGTAGATGCTGGATTCTGCTATGGTGATGGCAGAGATGAGAGAAAGACTTCCTGGGAAGAGTGATACTTAAGATGATCCTTGAAGGGTGAGTGAGACTGGGAGGAGGAGTAGTGTGGAAAGAAACATAT